ATATCTTATGTTAATAGATTGATTAGATACCCTCCTATATGAACATGTCTTGTTGCATGAATTAAGAACCAATTTTCTGGTTCAAAATCTATTTCAATAATTTTTTCAAGATGAGTAGGTTTTCGTGTTGTCATTTTCCTGGCTTCTTGAAATCCTTAATAACATAAACTACATAGATTTATCTGAGTTATTTTAAGAAATCCTGTTGTTTTCTGCAGAATGTAATCGTCTTAGTCCAAAATATTAAATAAAGTCAAGTTATATGCTATAAAATGGCGAATTTGTCATTATCCTGGCTTATGAATTCCAGGACATTGAAGTGTTACCAGAAATTTTTTTAACTGCTATTACTGTAAGGAGGAAAAGCAAATATTAACCTAATACCAAGTTATGTATGATTGTAATATGGTTGGATGTAATCAAAGTTATTTACTTATTTAATGATTGATTATTATACACAATTTCATTCTGTACATATCAGCAACGAAATTTATTTTTTTTCTTTCTACATTAGATAAAAAGAATTAATTTAAGCAATTTATGGTTCATCTAACATAAAGGCTTAAGTTGAGTTACTCACTATTAACTTAAAATGACTGTTTTTTAAACTTCTAAGCTAATATGTCATTTTCCTGGCATTCAAGATTTGATGAATTTCTATTTTATTTTTTTTCTCGAGCAAATGTCAGTAAACTTCACTGCTGTCTGTAAGATATTAATAAATGTAACTAAAGAAGTATACAAAAAAAATTTAGAGTATTTTGAAGACTTTAAATTTGAAGAAATTTTTTGGTCCGAAATGTCATGTTTAAAAAGAATCACCCATATATATATATAAACACACAAGGGTTGGACAAAATAATGGATACACTTCTATACTAACAGATTTTTTTTTATCTTTCACAAAAAATACTTAGAGAATCATTTAACAAATTTAGAAATGCTTAGTATATGCGATTTCTCATACTAATCATTGAAGTTTAAAGCTTTTAGTGGTCTGAGGGAGAGACAATAAATTACATAACGAAAATAGTGTTTTTAAACACCCTATGTCAAAAATTGAGGCAAAAAATTTATAACAATTGCTTTAGTAATATTAATTGCACAAAATTTCATAAACCTAGGTTAATTATTTAGGGAGATATGGACATTTTTATAAAAACTTATTTTTTTCTCTATAACTTTAAAAACATTCAATAAAATTAAACAAAAATTTTGTAGCAATTTAAAATTAATTACAAAATTATTGATTCAAAATGTAAGGAAAATTTGTTTAAAACTGCTTAAGATATGAGCAATTAAAGCAGTTCTTCTATACTGCGAATGGTTGGGGAAAATTTAAATTTGTTTTTTCTTAATTTTCCAGTGTTAATTGTAATTTTGTATGTGGCAACGCAACTAATAAAAAAAGTCCGATTTGAGTATCTTAAAAATTTAAAAAGTTTCAAGCCATTTTCTAAGCAGTTTTCGTACTTTAAAGAGAAAGCTTCAAATGATAAGGGGTTTTCCACAATTATTATGTACTATTAAGCAAGATTTATTAAAAATGACCCTGGCAATATTGGAGATCATCCCTCATGAAAGTATCTTTTCTTTTGCAGGCTTTCCTTCCTTATACAATCATATTTCGGTGCATGAACGTTTATTGGGAGGTATTATCATTTGTTATTTAATTCTGTCTTAAGATATAAAATAATATTTGTAGAAAACCACTCATCATTTTGAGTTTCTTTTAAAAAGTACAAAAACTACTTAGAAAATTGAAACTTTTTAAATTTTTAAGATATTCAAATAGTTTTTTTTTCATTAGTTGCCAAATACAATTCACTACAAAATTATGAAAAAAAAGTGTTAATTTTTTCCGTTCATGCGCAGTATAAAAGAACTACATTTAATTACTTATATATTGAAAAAGTTTTCAACGAATTGTTTTCAAATTTTAAATTGCTCTAATAATTTTGTTTAATTTGAATGAATGTTTTTAAAGTTATAGCAAAAAAAAGCAAAACAAAAAAAATTTGTTTTTTATAAAATTGTTTTTATCTCCATAAATACTTAAGTTAGGCTTACGAAATTTTGTGCAGTTATTACATATAATAATCAAAGAAATTGTTACAAGTTAAAAATTTACTGCTACATTTTTTGGCATACAGTGTTCAAAAGCACTATTTTCCATTTGTAATTTATTTTCGGTCCCTCAAAACTCTAAAAAGCTTCAAACGTCATTGATAAGTATGAGAAAACTCATGATCTAAATACTTCTGAAATTACAAAATGATTCTTTCAGTATTTCTTTAGAAATATGCAAAAATGTACTAGAATAGAAGCGTTTCTATTTTTTTGTGCATCCCTTGTATATAATTAAAATAACAATATTGAGTTATAAGAAACAGAACACATAAAACAGAGCCAAGCAGCTTATCTTATAAATTGAAGAAAAATATTTAAAGAAATTGTAATTTAACTTAAAAAGATGTAATATACTTGAAAATAAAGAGGGGGGGGGGAGAGAAAACAAAATCTACTGAAATGCAACAAGAATACACAGACAACAGCACTAATCATAAATATAAATAAAAAAGGGAAAGCATTGACAACATGGCAGCTTTTTCAGGGGGACAGTACCATGCATTTAGTGCACAAGCAGTTTTAGCAGGCATGTGGAAAAATACCACAAAGAAACCTATGCTCTCCACTGCCTCAAAAAGAAGAAAAATAAACAAGAGCAAGTCAGATGAAGATTATATCAGATTATATATAGAAACACTGAAAATCGAAATAGAAGTATGCATTATAAATTCAATGGAAGAAAAACTCAATCTTTAAGATGAATGTCAAATGTTGCATGTTCGAGTATTGAATTAGTTAACAAATCCAATCATTAGAAAACCTAAAGTTATAAGTTGGGAAGAAAAAATTGAAAGAAATGAAATCGAAATAAATAAAATTGAATGATATTAAAACCAAGCTAAGTGATTACGAATACAAACAGGCACTCAATTATGTTTAAAGGCAAACCAATCGAACCTTCAATGATTAGATGATTCAACCACAGCGTCAAGCTAAGCATTACTTCATACCATAGGCCATCTTTAACTAAAACAAGTATATGCCCACTAATCTAATAGGGATATTATTATTCAAAATGCAAACATTTGCAATTATTTGTAATAAGATCTTCAATATTACAAATAAATTTAATGTGATTAATTTGCGATGAAACTACATTTCTGTAAACATAAATATTAGAATTCCAGTAAATTAATTTGTTGACAGGAAAAGAAAAATTATTTCTTTTATCAAAAATATCGATTTGTATTTTAGAAGAGATTAATATAATAAATGAATCAAGGAAGTGTGAAGATTAGTTTTTACTAAAGTTAATTCATTTGGTTATACAGTGTCAACAGTAATAATAAAATTGAAAACAATAAAATCATTAATAAATTTGAAGCCATTCCTAACTGAAATTACAGCATTTTTTTAAAGTACTGTAAAAAAAGGCTAGTAAGACAAGAATACTTGAAAAATTAGCGCCTTGGTGTATACCAACAATTTCCAGTAAGACACCTTCACCATTAAAAATAAAAATATTAAAAGTACAGAAATAAATAATGTTTTGCAAATATTCAAAATTTGTATGAAAAATACTGATAAAATCATAAAAGTAGGAGGAAAAACATTGTCAAGGGGTATGCTTGTAAGAAGAGCTTTAAAGTTATAAGACTAAATGTATGTGATAGAGTAATTATCAATAAAAGTAATAAGTGGTTTATTATTTTTAATAATAAAAGTAAAGCCCAAATCATAAATATATCATTAAATAAAAGATTTAATATTTCGCAAACAATTTTCTTGGTGCATTCATATATGTATTAATATTGCAAGTGATAAAACTAAATTTAATAGATACTTGTGAAACTTTGGGGAGATAGTAATATAGGGTAATTTAATGTTGTAACTTTTAAATTTATTTAAAGCAAAAATTGCTTTTAATAATAGTGCTATAGTTATCAGAACAAAGTTTACATATCCAATAAATTAAGGTAAAAATATTTACAAAATAAGGCATAGTTACCAGAAGCATCATCAATAGGACATATAATAAAATGTTTCCTAATGAATTCAAAATGAATAATTAGATTTTTAAGCTTAAAGCCACCAAATTTAATTAGATGAGAGTTGTCAAAAAGACATTGTATAAATTTAAAATATAATTTCTATTTCCAATCAGTAAAGAACTATACACGTATGGATTAAATTCTAGATGTTTTAAAAATAATAGAATCAATATCCTCTACAAAACTCAAAAGTAATGCTAAATCTTAAGAATAGGCTTAAATTTCCCTTAGAAGGTACAAATTAGATACCTTTGTTATTAACAATTTTCATATCACCCATGACAATATGTTTAAAGTTATAATGAATAAAATTTGAATAAAAATCAGTTAAATTTTGAAAGATATTTGAAAAGTTGTTTGAAACTTCAAAAGTTACAATTAAAAGTTCAAAAGTTACAAACAAAATTAAATTTCTAAATCTAAGGGGGAAATAACAGGAATTGTGAGGTAGTTATTTTGATAATCAGATTTTATTTTAGAAAATATATTCTTAAAAAGATTATTTACTAAGAAAGAAAAGTGCTTATTATAAGAGGAAGAGAAAGAATTCTGAAGTTTATTAATATTTAAATCAAAGTTGAAAGTGTTATTCAAAGAATTAATAAAATATCTGTGGCTATTTTTAACTCTTAAAATCGCGGTACTTGTGGGTAATTCTCATCTCCGTAGAATAAAAGAAGTTTCAAAAATTGTATATTGCTTGGGTTATTATTGAAGAGGTAATTTAAATTAAACGTTATAAGGGTTTCGAATTTTAAAAAAAATAGTGATTTTTCATATCATATCTGTCATTATTGTTAGGTATAATATAATTAAAATGTGAAAATTCGGCATTAAAATTAGAAATATGGTTATAATTATTGATATTAGACATGTACATTATTTCTTAAGTGTAATTTATTACAAGATTGTCCAATATAATACATATTATAGAATTTACAGGATTTTTCTGCTATACTTTTACAAAAATCACGTACCATAAATAATATGTTATGCAAATCACTAGTATACAAATTTATGAAATAATCGCAAACATAAGGCAGAAACACTGATTTTACAGCCATGAAAATACACAATTTTAAAAAGAGCTGAAAATTATGGAAATTAATTTATGATTTAGAGATTTCATTCCTTTTTGTATGCAAAGAAAAAAGTTTCAAAATCTCGAAAGAGCAATAATTTGAGCTTCATCACCATTTAACACAAATTACAGAAAAGATACCTTTTTGACGGTTTTGAAATACATTCTACCGCTACCATATATACGCTTACATATAATGTAATGCAATGTTGCTATATGAAACAAATGGATATTCAAATCCTCATGATCCATATGAAAGTTTTTGTTGTATAATATACATTGAAGAGCCATTACATTATGACCACCCTCCATCTATAACAATGGGCTCGCCCAGGTTTTCATGGTTTCTCGCCCAGGAACAATGTTTTCATGGGGCACATTAGGACCCATAATCCTCATAGAACGATCCCCGACGCCTGTAAGCTACTTGAACATAGTTGCAGACCAGGTTCATCCATTCATGGCAACAGTTTTTCCTGCGAGGAATGGTGTTTACCAACAGGATAATGCATCATGTCATAAGGGTCGAATCGTCATGGATTGGTTCGAGGAACATTCCAGTGACTTTCAAGTCTTGTCTTGGCCCCCAAATTCACCTGACCTTAATCCAATAGAGCATTTGTCGTCCTACTTAGAAAACCAAATTTGTGCTGCCACGCTACCCCCTTGCAATATGAGGGAATTGCAGGACCAGTTGGTGAGCGCTTGGTACCAGATATCTCAGACTACCTATCCGCACTTTGTGGAATCAATGCCACGGCAGGTGCGAGCAGTTTTGAGGGCTAAAGGTGGTCCTACATATTATTAGCAGGGTGGTCAAAATGTAATGGCTCTTTGGTGTATAACAGCTAAGCCAAACTTCATTAATTTTCTGTAAAATTCGAAATTTTTTTTTATGCCAATGACGTTTTTCTGCTGTTATTGCAACAGATTTGTGTATTGTTTTCAAAATTTTGAACTTTTTAGATTCATTTTTATGAAAGACGAATTTTGAATAGCAGGTTTGAATTATGTATCAATTCTCGACATTCAATACACAACGATACTACCGTGAATTCTCGTGCGTTTGGTTGATTACTTTTCCGCTAGCTTTTGGTACAGATGTTTTTCATATCTCGAAATTTTAATACAACCTTATAACGGATCGCAAATTCCGAATCTGAATGATAAATTTTTGATGCACTTGATTGGCGCCAATTCATGTTTTTCTTTTATGGTTGCTATTACGACAGTTTTTTTACAAGGATTTTAAAATTTCACTTTTTTAATATGGTAATTATTCGACTGGCAAAATTAATATGGAAACATTGATGAATATCTTTCCTATGCACTAGCTTAACGAAGATTTAGTTATAAATCAATTGAAATTTCAAAAACTATTGGTACAGGTTTTCATTTGGCTTTTAAAATCCCTATTTTTTAATATTATATTAATACATCTGGCATGTTTCAAATCATGCACTTGATTAAATACTTTTCTGTGCACTAAATTGTTGATAATTTAATTATAAGTTTATGTGGTTTTAACAACCGCAGTTTCAGTTGTTGTTAATATTGCTACGGATTTCCACATTTTAGATATTGATTTTTAATAGGACATTAATTAGTCAGGAGAGTTTCAAATTCCACATCTGTTAAATCGCTTTTCTATGAAGTCCATTAGCGATAATTTAACAGCAAATCCAAGTGATTTCGACCAGAATGTAACAGTAAATCCAATATGACCTTATTTTCAACAATTATTTCTATGAGTTTTCATCTGATTTTTAAAATCTCAAATTTTTAAATCTATGATTATGTATGGTGAATTTCAAAATGCGCATTTAACGAATCACTTAGATGCACTTAATTTGCGACGATTTTATTGCAAATCTACATGATTTTGTAAAGAGCATTTCAACAGTTTATCAATGAGTTTTAAAATCTGGACAGAGCTCAGCATGAGTGTTTACAAAAATGAACATAGCTTGAATAATAGTGGTAATAAATTTATGTCATTATAACGTGCTCAGAAAAATCACATGCTCTGCTTCCAGTTTTTAGACATGATAAACCCAACATCCCTATATCACCCCTGGTTGTAGGAATTTAGTTTTAAAATTTACTTTTTGATTTGAGTTCTAAATATGAAGACATCACCTGAAAAATTATATCTTTAATATATTGTATAGTATTTTATTCCATAAAGATTATGCTCAGTTTATAAATAAGTAAGGAAAAGTAAGCATTACTTTTTATAAACTAAATTAAGGGTGAAAACTGAAAGGCAAATTATTTTGCTGTGTGCAGTTTTGTAATCGTGCATTTAGAGCAGTATCCATTTTTGTAAACATACTTTTTGTGTTGTGTCCATTTTCGTAAACATGTGTTTTGAGCCGTGTCCATTTTTGTAAGAAAGCAATTTGAGCTGTTTTCTTAAACACGCATCTTGAGCTGTGTCTATTTTCGTTAACACAGACTTCCAGCACATCAAAGATCAGCATGTAAGTTATTAGGCTTACTTTAATTTTTAACAAATATATAAACCTTAGCCTTAAATCTTCAACCAAATTATTTAAATTAAAATTTGACATCATGGGGTTGGCTAAATTAGCGTGAATTTTGGCTGTGTTTTTTTGATAATGCACCTTTAATGGATCTTTCCAGTACTACACTTTTGAATTGCCTTATGATTAGGCAGGTCATAACAACAGGAAAGACATGGAGAGAGGCAAAATATCAGGCCATAAATAGAGTGAGATGGAAAGCTATGATAGAAGCCCTATGCTCTAATTTGGTGTGAAAAGGAATATGTATGTATGTAGGCAGGTCGTGGAGGTATTTATATCCCAAGATCTGTGCCTATTATTAAGCAAAATTAATTTTTTTACATAGTGACACTCAGATAAAATATTCTTTTTTATTTTGCATCTCGATCTCGGCTACTGAATTAAAAATTTTATTATGATCATTATCATCTTTCATCATATATTTGAATTAGACATCGACATTATTTTTTAGTTCCTCCATTATAAAATATGGTATCATCCAAGAGAACCTGCACTTAATGATCATCAGCTTTTCAAATGTGTACTGCATGCTATACTTGGCTATTTTGTTACGTGTTTTCATCGAAATAAAAATGCCCAAACAATTGACTGATAGACAATCAAAACTTTAAGAAGAGCGTCAAACTTTTTCATTCTTCTTTCATACAAAAATGTGCATAGCATAATTCCTATTATTTAAAAACTAAATTTCATAAAACTAAAGTTATTAAAAGCTAATATTCATGGTAATCTATTTTCTCAATAAATAAAAAACCTTAATATATTTGGTAATCTTTTAATTTCACAACCTTGAGTTGAGTTCAGAATAAAATCTTTCTGTATACATTAGCTTAGAATTCGAAAAAAATTACACAGTTGCTAAATGTTATGCATTTATTAAAATATATTATTAATTCTCACACTTTCTTTCCCACTAACACATTTGGGTGCGTAAAAGTAAGGAAAAAAGCAGTGGCAATTAATAGCCAATACATGAAACTTTATTACTTTCTTTGGCTTTCTCGCCCATTTTCAAAATTAATGATTTTATTGTTTAAATATTCATATTTGAAACGAATCACTGAAGCTCCTGATTATGCAAAAATAAAATATATTATTCTATTATTAATCCAATCTGATTCTTGATTAAATTGGTTCAGTAACATGAACATATTTGTTTTTCTTCATTATTGTGAGATGGAAACACAAATGTATAATACTAATTTTCTTGAATGATTACTTAAATTCATTAACATATTTCTTCAAGCGCTATTTCCTACCAACAACAAATCCTTGTTCAATATAAGGTAATCAACACCTACAAGCTAATTAATTTACTAATTCTTCCGATTCTCACAAATTTACATAAATTTTATCCATAATTATGATCCAAGAAGTTTTAATTAGTATAATCCCTTTATGCTCTAAGTGTAAGGATTCCATTACAATCCAAGAAATATGAGCAAATGTTACAAATTGTGAGAGTTTTGGGCATTTTAAAACTGATTGTGCAATTTTTTGGAAGTATCTTGAAATCTTTTCAAGCGAGACAAAAAAAAAAAGTTTAGCGCCAAATTGTGTTAAAGTCGCAAAACTGCAAATTTCACTTTTATGATTTTAGTTCTCAGGATCATATAATGGCAGAAAGATAAAAAGCATAAAATTTTTCTTAGTTGATTAAAAAGAAAAAAAAAAGATTTTGAGATTAATGGATAACTTTCAGCCTTGATTTTCAAATGAATAGTCACTTGGAAGCACAGAAAACTGTTGAATAACATTAAGATTTTCATGTTCAGCTCTTTCAGTATAAGTTTTTGATAATTCATATTTTTTAAAATCTTGAGGTATAAACATAAGTTCTGATAATGACTGTAAACAAAAGGATGAATCTAATATTCGATTTGTTTTTCTAAAAGCCATACAGTGTAAATGAGTTAGTTTCTCATATTTAAACCGAAAGAAACCTATATGTTCTAAACATTTTTTCCAACTCTTCATCATTGGAGCATTATGTTGCAAACTCTTGGAATCAGGAGTGATAATGATTAATAAACCGTTTTTTCGAAGCACATCCCAAGCTTTTAAGCAAAATTTAAAACGTTGTTCTCTTGCTGGCAAATATTCAAGAACCAAAGAAAACACAACAATATCGATGCTTTCATATAGTATTCTTAAATCAGCATGGTTGCATGCATCATCATTTTCATGTAAGACTTTTAATTTTAAGAAATCACATTGAACTACATCCTAAAAATAAAAATATGATTAGATAAAAAAAATTTGATCAATAACAATTATAATACAGTTAAATTTGTTTACTCTCAACCCTCATTTAATGAGTTCAAAGAGTGAAAGAGAAATGTCTAAAAAATTGTTGTTTAAATGAAGAAAAATTATATCATGAGTAACAAGAAACTTATCATAAATCTTTATAATATTTTTGAATATAAGGTGTAAAAATCATATGTAGATGAGCAATTATGTAAAACATTTTAAGATTCTTCATCTGTCTTGATATAAATCCTACAACCTGATGAAGTAATTATGTATGGTCAGAGGTGTATCTTTGGAAAGTGCTTACAACAAATCTCATACTGGCGTCCTTCCTAAAATATTTATATTCTCTTTCTTGTTTTACATAATAAGAAATAAAAACATTGTTTTAAGTATTTAACCCTTTTGACAATATCACAAAAGATTGCATTGTATTTAAATAAAGATAGATTAATAAATAAATAAAAAATTAACTATAACAATAAAATTATGGCTTTAAAATTGTAATGCATTCAAGTGTCTTCAAAATCATAATTGGTTGGAAATAAAGAGTCTTTTTTATCATATGTAAAGAAGATTCTACAGTGTTTTTTTAGTTGTCAATAAAAATTCTGACATTTTGCTTAGTTACGCACAATTAGATTTTAAAGTTTTATAAATATAATTTGGTAACAAAAATATGCACACACAACAAATATAGTTCTGGGTTAAAGAAGAACTAAATATATTATAACTGGATGATTACCGAATATTTTTAAAATTAAAAGTTAAGGAAATTGATACTTTTAAAAGTCATGCTTTTTGCTAACATCAAAACCATAAAATCATAGCGATATAATAAATTTATCAAAGATCACAGTGTAAATAATTATGATTTGTTATGACAATTATATACAAAATAGCTACAATCAAATGATATATTTTGGTTAGTTTATTTACTGTTCAAAAAAAAAAAAAAAATCTAAGTAATTAAGTTTTATAAACATTAATTAAGTTTTACAAACATTATATAAAGATAGATAATAAGAAAAAATATACACATAATTACATACAAAACTCTAGACTAAATAGCGACAATAATACATTCTTTAATGAGAAATAAATTAGAGGAAGTTGACGATTTATTTCAAAAATGTCTAGAAATAATTGACTTAATAAAACCAAATGATGAAAAATCCTCATTGCATCTTAATGGAATAAATTAGAAACAAAGCAAAAAAATGAAATGGATTTGAATTATAATTTTTTAGACGTTCAGTGTGCAAAAAAATAAACTGACCACCCTGATAACTTTTGATCTAATGATCAGATCTTCATGTTCTAGGACACATTTTTCATGGTTCAAGGGGGTGACTTCAAACAGGCTAATTAAAAAGTGCAGGGGCGATATTTTAAGCTACGAAATCAGATACTAAAATGTATTTTATCTGAATATAAATGACTTTTTTTCCCGACAGATTTGGATTTCTAAATTGAAAATCATAGGGGGTAGCTGCAATCTGAGAAAAAACTGAAGGGCTTTTCAAGTGAACTGAAAAATTTTTGCACACAATTATTAAGGTCAGTTATAATTGCGTAAATTGTCTAAAAATAACTTTTAGTCAATAGTTATTATTTTATTAACCATAGTCAGAAATCGTTTTTAATTGTAAGGTATAAACTGCTTATGTCATTTTAAAAGAAAGTAATTTAACATGAAAAAATAAACATGAATAAAACAAGTTTACTTAACGATCACTTTAGAAATAATCATTAGTTCCCTACACTGTCAGAAGTAAGACTCTTGTACTACTTATCATTAATCATTACCTTCCTCACCCCTTTCTTAGTTGCTTCTTTTCAATCATAGCTCAGTGAGAAAGGGTGACTCATTGAATACCCGTTTTCTTATCATCTGGCCCTGAAGCAGGGGGAGTCATTACTATCAGTGGAAGTACTCACAGAAGAGCTACCTCTGTCTGAAGGGGTTCCCTCCTGGATAATTGTCTTTTTTAGAATGACTAAAACCTTGCAATGTGATGTGAAGTGGAGGAACAAATTGTTCATCTTGTCTCTTTGCTTGTGGAAAAATAACTAAAATAAAGATTTATTCAGAGATCATGGATTCTCCGCAGTCTGGTCTTTCTTTTAAATGTTGCTCTTTTTTTTAAAAAAAAATTCTGCCCCCAAGTTCAGAAAAAAAATTCTTAAGTGGAAAAAAACCTTGATGTTGATCAATTTTGCGCCTTTTTGAAATGCACCTATGGCATTCGCCATAACCTAGATATGCCATTGTGTATGGTCGTTGCAATGATTTACGAAAGAAGTATCTCTAAATAAAGATCAGTTTTGAGATGAATATAATTCTTTTAAGGATGTAAATTCTTAAATAGATATAAAATCCAGGATAAAATCTTTGTACCAGGCCATAAATTGTATGTCATGCCTTTAAAGGCAATATAGTCCCAGTATAGGCAGAAAAGCGGTTAAAATTTACTCTCGTAAAATTAAGTATTCACCTATTTCCCTATTGGAAAGAAGCTGTATTTCTAAACTTCTATCTTTCAATGATTAATAGACCGATTCGCTTTAAATTTCAGATTTTAAAAACTACTAAACTATGCAGATTAAAATGACATATAAATTTGCATATCTTAAAATTCAAATTTTTTAGCTCAATTAAATTTGCTAAAATACAATTTTCTTTTAAATAAACAATAATAAATAATTACACTTTGCACGGAATTATCGTAGGATATAATAGTTTTACAATTCTGTTCAAACAGTTTTTGACCGATTTCAGTAGTTCCATACGAATAGAAAAATATGCAAAAACTGAAGATAACATCGAGCAGTTCTAAATTTGAACCATTCTCCTGACCAGATTATTGAGACTATATTTACCAGAGTGAGTCAACTTCCGTATTTTGAGGGTCAAAAATCTAAATCCTTTAGAAAAAAGGGTATACTTATTCAGAGAAATTGGTGTCTGATTTTATAACTTTAACAATCGCACTTATTAATTAGCATATTTAAGGTAAGGTCCTCAAATTCCATTAATATTAAGTCCTAGTACATAAAAAAACCCCGATCATAACATCATCGCACATAGTAAAAAATTTGCATAAAATATATATATTTTTTCTTCTTCTGAATAGTAAGAACTCAAGATTCATTTTCATGTAAATAAACAAATAATAGTAAAAGCAGACCATAAGTGAAAAAAAAAAGCAACAGTAATTTCTTAAAAATTTATATTTAAAGAAACATAGTATAACAATAAATACCTAAGGCAATATATAATACAGTTAAAACCTACTTTAGTTGCAGGAGTTATATCAATAGCTAGGCACTCAAAGATAGGAAATTTGGAAAATGGATTGTAACAACTCCCAACATCAAGCAACTGCAGCTTCCTATCAAAATTTTTATAGTTGTTTTTTTCTTCAGATAAGTGGCATAAATACCTGAATTATTAAGAAGAGAAGTCACAGAAAAATATAAAGATATTACTGCATACAGAAACAAAATTAATAACATAAGTGAAAAATACAAAAAATCATTACATTAAAATAAATAGAGAAATGAGATAACTTGTACAGAGGAGCATTTTATGATTGTTGAACAATAAAATAACAAAAAAACTAAACATGATAATTTTTTAACATATGTAACCTATACTTTCAGTTCAAAATTTTGATTTACTTCAGCACATTATTTCAATGCAATAAAAACTTATATTATAATTTAATTAATATTTTACCCTGTTAATAACAGACAGTCACATGACATATTTAAAATAATAAAAAAAAAGACACATAAATTTTTTTTCAGTACCAACACTTGCTCACAAACTTTTAAAATTTAAAAAGCTATTACATCAATTTAATATTAGGAGGTGAAACAATAACTAGTTTGCATTTGCACCCATAATATACTGATATTTTTAGGCATAATATTTTCTGTAAGTGTTATTCTTGGGATTTAGCTGTTACTTTTTTCACAGATGGCAGTTAAGTATTAAAGTTTTCTGATGAAAACAGATTAAATTTTTAACAACTTGTCGCATAACTACCACTATAAATATTGAATACCAAATCACTAGTATGTAAGACATGTTAACTAGATTCTATCACGAGGTACCTTTTGATAGATGAAGGTTGACGTAGTCAGTAATTAATTTCCCACATTGGTGACCTACGGGCGTGATATGAACTTGCAATAATGATGGATGGTCCACAATAAAAAACAGTTGATTTGCTTAAAAATATACTGCTCAAAGAAAAAAAATTCTGGTGAAGTAAATAAAGTCTCCTGGTCAATAAACAAAAAAATGAAGGAGGAAAAAATAATGAGCAAAATTGACAAAAATAAATAAAACAGCATGAATCAACTAGTGGTATCCGTTCATCGAATTCTATCACAGATAAAATCCTGGAAGGGGAGTAATGTGGCGTAACTACCACTATAAATATTGAATGCCAAATCACTAGTATGTAAGACATGTTAACTAGATTCTATCACGAGGTACCTTTTGATAGATGAAGGTTGACATAGTCAGTAATTAATTCCCCACAAACTTAACATTTTAGAAATTAATTTCACAAACTTGTACCACAAATTTTTTAGGGGGGAAACAAATATAGACAAGATTTTCCTTTAATTAGTTTCATAAACTCTGAATTTGAGTTGTAATTTTCAAAAAATAAGAGCAGAAACAACAAAGTTTAGATTAGAGCGCGAAACTCCAACTCACCATTGTCAACAAAATATGTAAGGCTGGCAAGTGAGCTTAATTTTCTAATTTCTTGAGTTTTTAATTAGACTAAATAGATTATCGTGCCTCAATTCAGTGTCACCTGGAAGTGCTTTGAAATGAAGAAACAGGATTTTTCTTCTATTTAAAGCAAAGGATGCTAAGTTATAAACTTTTGATTAATGAAACCATATGAAAACCTTATTTTGATACCGTATGAAATCCTTATTTTGATTTACTATTGATATTGTAATAAATACATTTTAAGTTCTTCATTCTTTTATGGATTCGGTCATCAAAAATTTCTCCATACTACATAAGTTAAAATTTAAAAATTATTTATGTTTTTCATGAATGTAGAATGGTGGTGAGCGAAAATTTCAGTCTGGCTAGCATCTTTAGAACTGAAATTTAATGTCCTGGTTTAGATAGAAACGTAACTTAACTGTTAATGCTACAACGAACAATTTAAAAATTTTATGAATTTGAAAGGGAAAACTTATACTTTTCAAGAAATAACATTTTCAAACAGTGTTGTTTTTAAAATTGTGCCATTTACTTTGGATTAGCTCAGTAACTATTTCAAGAAATGATAGCCAATCATCAAGTTTTTGATGAAAACATGACTTTAACTTCAGCAGCATGAGGGAACTACAACACTGCAAAACCTAAATTTTGTGAAATTAATCTATTTTTTAAGGTTTAATTTTTTCTAAAAATAGCAACAAAAATAAATAAATAAATAAATCAAACTGAATATAAAAATTGGAATACATTTTAAAATCATTTAAAAAAAAATTACTCTGATAAAAAAATTGATTCCTTTTTTTTACAAGAGACTAAATGTGGATTGAATTTATAATTATGATTTGAAATAAACTTAGAAATTAAGTTTTAATTATTCTTTCAAAACAATCATTAAAATTTGAAACTTAGGTTGAAAATAAAAACATTGCAAGCAACTGTTTAGAAATTAATTATTTTTTAGCACAAATATTTTCTATAGAAATTTTAAAGTAATATGGCATCAATAACAGTGAATTTGAGTTTTACTTCTTTTTCAAATGCAAAATTCCTAATATTTACAATAAAATGCAATTAAACTTGTAATGGTACATAGGTGAGCGTAAAAATTAATATTTTCATAACCAAATCTATATTTTATGGAAATAAATACTGTTTCTTTTAACTAGTACAAAATATTTTGAATTGGATGTGTAAATTTTCCTACAAATGGCAGCCGAGCCTCTAGACTTTTGATGAAAAGCTGATTAAAAATGGAGTTATCAGAATATTTTTCTAAGCATACAAAATTAATAATCATAAGAAATTATTGAATTGCATCTAAGAGTTATAAAAATAAAGCAACTGTAATTAGCTAAAACTAGTAAAATACACTAATTTCACAAAGTTTAAATTTGCTTACATTTTTCAAAAATAGTTACAAGTAAAAAATATTCTTAGTATATAATATAAGATAAATAAAAAAAAATTCTCACTCAATGTCTTCTCCAAAGGAAGGAGACCATTTTCTTTGAATTTTTAATTCTCGTAGTAAAGAATGTTTAATACCATCATTCAGAAAATAATCTCTAAAATAATGAAATGGATTAAAAAAGTGAATAGTTTAAATACTGAATAATGTGAATATTTAAGCTTTAAAATGTATGTATTATTACTAACAATATGCAGATGAGTTTTAATTCAACTGCAATATCTTATATCATCATATTTTTTTAATCAGCAAAATCATAATACATCAAAAAGAAACTTTAATATCTAATTGATTTAAATAATAAAGATAAAAAAAAAAAATTTACCTGAGTCATTTATCAGATTAAAAGACAATGAAATAAGAAATTAAAATGAAAAATTGATTATAAGAATTAAATCAGTAATACTTTTCTATAGAAAAAATAGATTGAAAAACAATAATAGGTAAAAATGTCTTTAATATTTTTACAACAATTAAAAAACATTCAGGTTGAATTAAAACTTAAAAAATTACATTTAAGTAACAAAATCTGCATAATACAGATTTTAATATAGTGATTTACCATTTAAATAATACTGCATGGTCAATGATTATTGCAAGAAATATACAAGTAGTAGTTTATTTACACTGCACTAGAGATGCACGCACATTGGGCATTTGAGAAGGGTCTATGAAACATCCCTGAAAATGATTCGAAGACATGCCATCACAATTTTAATCTTCGGGGGAGGGGATAGCCTCCCTTCTTTGGTAGCCCAAAGTTGAGCACTTTATGGTAGAGAAGTATAATTTGGTGTGATACAGTATATTCTTGGTCCCTCTGCAGGCTGATCAAAGTGCTCACTCACTGACACACCGACCCCAGCCAGTGAAGATTGACTTCGGTGATCCGTGTGATAATGATCAGTTCACTGCAGGATGCATTTTAAGAATATTTCAGTAATCATCCAATGAATAAGTCATACAAAAATAAAGCTTTTTACTTTTTACTCAGTCATTAATCAAAAATTAAAATCTAAAACAAAAAGTGCACATTTTTGAAAATCATTAATCCAAATCAATGTTACATTCATAACAGTTATATTTATTGTCACTGTTAGAAAATATGATAAGAGAACTGATTATTATATTTATTAAATAATAATAATAAAGAATAAGGGTGAGTGAATAAATTTTCATTTATACTTACATACAAGTTTTGTAACTCCAATGTATTCTAGATTCTTTATCATTCCATACTTCTGTTGCTAATTTTATCATTGCTGATGCATATGCTTTACGTATGTTTACATCTGCAAGATGGCAGTTCCACACATGATCAAAGTCACCAACTGAAATATATTTAATATTAAAATTAAAGAAATTAATTTTTTTTTAAAGAAGATGTCACAAATTAAAACATTAAAGCATGAAAATACAACAATATGACATATATAGAACTGAATTCTAAGAGCTAGAAGGCCTATAATATTACTAGCAATAAATATTAATCAGAAAGCAAAATAATAGAAACATGATTATCAGGTAAGAATCCTGTTAAACTTGTGTACTCATCTTTTACACCTGTACATTTCTCAATCTATTAAAGAGTTTCATATAAGGTAAATTAGAATATTCTGATGCAGTAGTATCTTCTCTGTGAACTTTTTATTTTATACATAGTGCAAAACGCATGTTCAAGAAAAAGGATGTAGCGTACCGATTACAACATAATTTCTTAAATATTAAGGATAATCATCGTGCATGACAAATTTTATAAAACACAAAAAAAATCAGAAAGCATTGTGGAGTTTGCTGCATAAATATTTAAATTGAAAGTATGAATTAAGTAATTTCTGCGTGATTTTCTTTGGATTAATTCTTAAAAATAATGCTAAACTACTAGTAAATTCTTTTAATATACAAAAGCAAGAATAGTAATTAGTGAAAAAGACTCAAATACATAATTTACTAATATTATACTATATTAACATAATATATTATGAATGTATAAAAACATACATAATATTCGCAAAATTGAATTTAGGAAGATTTCCAAAATTGGTATGGTCAAAATAATCGCAAGTTCCGACGATTACCCAGTGGAAGGCAAGAAACTACAAAAAATATCCAAGGGGACTAACTTGAAGGATATAACTCGAAGTTTATTCTGCATATTTTTTACAAATTTAAAATCTCTTTGCAACTATAGCTGGTGGCAACAAGTACCAAATGAAAATATCTCCTTCTGGCTAATAGCTCAATATTTTTTATAAAAATTTTTTGCAATTTGAAAAACTTTTTGGCCCCTTGTTAATTGTAGATGTACCATGAGTAGGTAACAATATGGAAATATTTTTGCTATTTCGGTATTTACACTTGTTTGCACCAAATGAAACTATCTGGTTATTGTATTTTCAATAACATTTAAAAAAAAAATATATAATAGTTATCTTGGATTAAAAAATAATCTCTTTCGCGAATGTAGTTGGATACTGGTACAGAAATATTTTTGATATTTCCATATTAGTACAAGCTAAAACAGCCCAGTAATTCACTAACTGAAATTGTCTGGTTGTTGTATGTGGAGTAAGTTTTAAAGACATATTTAATGCTCTCTCGGGGGGATGCCAATGAGATTGCCTTCCTTTGAGAAGTTTCTGAAGGATTCCACAGGAAGAAGATTGAGAGTAGGGTTTAAGAATCAGATAAAAATAATGCATAAAATTTTAATAACTTATACAGCATCCGATGATGTCATGAAATTGTTCTAGAGTAAGAGAACTTAGTTGATATTTCTGCATCGGTATTTGTTTGCGCCAACTATCAAAGAAAATTAAAAGTATTTAATAGAATTTATATACTTCACACAGCTTTTGATTTCATAGAAAAGCAGACATAAGAAAAAACATGAAGTTAGATTAAAAGGCATTAACTTACTTAATTGATAAGATTTTCGTAACTCATCATGAACACCTTTAATAACATGCGTTAATTCTTGATGCGTAATTGAACTCATTACAATTTTTTACAGGGAATATTTCCGTGTCGTGATCTCTTGCCCTTACTACAAACACCAAATGGATTTTAAACTTACAATTTTCTTTCTTTTAAAAAATAAATAAATAAAAACATCTAGGGGTTTGCCCAAGGGTGCTACGAGTATGCCATTCGAATTGATACCCTTCTGTGATGTTTTCTCTTAATTCCTGACGGATCGCTGCCTATAAGTTACCAAGCTTGGGCTATTTTTCTGTCGCAGATCACGATATGGTCATATTCCCCCAAAAGTAGAAAAATCATAATTATTTCAGTAGTGTACACTCGAATCTAGGGTCCTGAGAAATTTGTAAGAGCACCTCAAGGAAAGAATATTTAAAAGGCTCCTCAAAGTTCATTAGTAGAAAATAATTAGTTCCTAATTATTTTCTACTAATGCTGTAATCTGACATGATTTGCACGTTATTCTGTTAGTAAACATAGAAACGTGGATTTAAGTAGGCCTCTTTTGGTTGTTTATTTCTGCTAAAAAAGCATACATAATACAAACTCTGAATCTAGAGGACCATTCTCTTTGCAGCGATTTTTTCGCAGACTAACGAGAGCCAGATTTGTGAAAAATATTTACCAGTGAAAAACTTACCTGAGTGAGAATGGCACTTAGAAAAGACAAAAGATAGAGGTCAAGAGGTAAATAGTTCAGAATTTATACCAAAAAGAAAAAATAATCCCACATAATAAACTACTGAATTTGTGTAATTGTTGATAACAATAGTTTGCTTTGTATTTGATAATTGAAAACTAGTAACTGTACTAGTTCGCTTTCTCATGTTCGATCACAACATGGTATTTTTTCGCAATTTACCTACATTAATTATTAGTCATTACTTATTAGAATAATAAGCAGAATTAAATAAAGCCCGATTTCAAGTTTATATGTTGTTGTAAGTTCATCTACGTCGCACTAGAACTGCACAATGGGCTATTGACGACAGTCTGGTAAACATCCCTGAGGATGATCCGAAGACATACCATCACAATTTTGATAATCTGCTGAGAGGATGGCACCCCCGCTTTAGTAGCCCGAAGATCTGCACGCGAAGTCGAGCACTTTACGCAGACTGATACAAGTGATTACCCACCCGCACATTGACTGCAGCCAGTGATACTTGACTTCGGTGATCTGCTGGGAATGAAGTTTGTATGACAATTTGTTTAAAGGTTATGAGCATTTTTATGCAGCTGCTTATGCTTCACTACTTAAAAAATTAGTGAATTTCGGAAATCTTAAAATTTTTTAGAAATAAGTCAGTATTGTTTCTAACGTAATTTTAATGCTGAATCGAATAAAATCAATTGCAAATAAAAGCACTTATTGTTAGAAAGGTATATGCATTTTTTTGAATTTCATCCTATGAGATATGTTTTTATATTTAAACAAATGATTGTAGCAACTAACAGTTAGTTTTACTCTGCTCAATATTATAACGTACATCGGAAATATTTTACTCAACTTCTTTTAAAAGCATTATTTCAAATCGTTTTCTCTTAAACATTTTCCTCTCATAAAATTGCCCACAACTTTAAAACAAATGCTTCTTTCTGCTTGTGGTTAGTTTTATTCGATTTAGTGTTAGACATGCATAAAAATTGGTGCATGTTATTAAACGATTGTTGATTCTTGATTACATTGATTAAAATATAAAAATGACTATTTTTTGTGAAACTTTGATGAGATTGACAACAACAGATGGCCTTTTCAGAATCAGCGTCAAAAATTCTGTGAAAAACTATTAGATTCATGAAGTCTGACAAAAAGTTTAAAAATATAGACCAGTCTTATTGAGTTTAAAAGCTAGTTTTTCCTACAATACTTTCTCCAAATTTATTTTACATATAATCATTACAATCATTGAGAAAGATTTTGCGGAGTATACTTGGTGGTGTAAATGAAAACAATAACTGGAGATGAAGATTTAACTTTCAACTGTACAAGATTTTTAAACAACCTGATATTATTAAATACATAAAAATAAATAGAATGAATTGGGTCGCCCATGTGATTCGAATGAGTGATGATAACACAATAAAAAAGATATTGCTTTTTAGATCCACTGGAAAAAGGAAGCGGGGAAGGCTGCGGTTGAGATTTGCTGACTCAGTGGAGTCTGATTTTCTCGCAATTGATGAAAAGAATTGGAGATCAAAGATAAAGCGGAAGTCGTCATGGAGAAAAATTCAGAGGAAGGCATTGGCTCACGTTGGGCTGTCTGACCAACTATGATGATGATGATGATGATAATTTCGTGTACTTATTGATTGTAATTGAAGAATTCGGTCAGCTTATAGAAGTATACTATAATTCTGTTTGCTAACATTCTTTTATTTTTACATTACAGGAAGAATAAAGAAAAAAAAAAGAAAAAGAATCTCTGTTGAAGGCGGTTAGATTAAAAAATATCATAGCCTATTTAGATGTCTGAGGAAACTTCAATTATTAATAAAAATCATTTATTTTAAAAAAAATATTTATTTATTAAAATTCTTCTTTTTTCTTCAATCAAAAAAGATTTATTTTACTATTTCTAATTTTTTTAAAAAAAATTATATTTTGTTCCGTTTTTCTTAGTAAGAAAAAGAGATAATATTTTATGAGTCATATAAAAAGGAAATTTATTTACGATATCCTTTGAAGGAAAAACGAGAAGCTTTTATGTTCAATATATCTCACTAGATTGCAGAATCATTAGATGTAGTCCTTATCATTTCTAACATACGTTTTCTAACCAAACCTGGTGCCTTTTTCTGTCTTTAGTTAGTTTCTTTGGTTCTAACATTAAAAAGGACATTTTTACTATTTTTCTTAAAATTCTTTTTCAGATTCATTTGAAACTGGTTTCACATAAAACCTGTTTGCAAACACGTAAATATAAACGAGCGTTAGATTTTCTGAAAATACCAAAACATACGTTTTAAAATATTTATTGATATATTTTATAAAATATTTGCATAGTTCAAAGCAAGCGTTGCCGAAATTCAAATATATGTCTAGTAATACTTCTTGAAAAAATTTATTCAGCCCAAAAAACATAATTTTATGAGCATATACAGCGTTGACATAAAGGTGCGTGTAATTTTTTATTATAATTATTTGCAACGTGGGATTAATTTAAATCTGAATTCATATAAAAATATAAGTGTTTTATTTTCCAAAAATACCTAAATATATCGAGAAGTAGTTGAAGAAATAAGAAAAAAAGAAAACAGTTTTGGAGTGTTTGGACAAGTGTGGAATATGAGGTGGAAGAGGTAGACGGCCGTTCTGCTTTCTCGTCGTGTTTCACACTTGTCCGGACGTTTCGGAACTTCTCGGTTCAATCATGGGCTGTTTTGTAGTAAACTAGTGTCCTCGTATTGTGTAATCTTTAAATTTATCAGTGCCTTCAATATCTTTCGATTAAAGAAATATGTAACTAGTTGTTCCCTTTCGACATGTGCGCGTTGATAATTAAATTACTATTTCACAACGTCTCTACGTACAGAACCTTTTTAGAGTTTCATTGTTTTCTTAATTTAAACCTAAATAAGTCAAATTTAAACATTACTCCCGTTGAATATTCAATATAGCTAATACTAAAGGTAGAGAAAAATTTCAATAAAACAAATAATGACCTTCATGATTTTAATATGTGAAAAAATTATCCTGAATGAAATAAGCACCGTAACTTACAATGATAACGTAGAAATTGATATTGTCTAAGATCGCCGGTATATTTTTAAAATGTTGCCAGTTTATATCAGTTTGTACAAGACTTATAAGCAACCTGATATTATTAAAGACATAAAAATAAGTAGGATAAATTGGATCGCCCACGTGATTCGAATGAGTGACGACAACACAATAAAAAAGATACTGCTTTTCAGACCCACTGGAAAAAGAAAGAGGGGAAGGCCACGGTTGAGATGGGCTGACTCAGTGGAGTCTGATTTTCTCGCAATTAATGAAAAAAAATTGGAGATCAAATATAAATCGGAAGTCGTCATGGAGAAATCTTCAGAGGAAGGCATTGGCTCACATTGAGCTGTCTGGCAAACTATGATGATGATGACCAGTTTATACATATGCAGCCTTCTTCTGCCAAGAACTTGAACTGAAAGTGAAAAGTTATTTGATTGTAACTGTAGATGGAGTTTAATTTACGTTAACTTTTGACCCTTAATGTATTAAGAACAAATTTGAAAGTGTCTTAGCGATTTTAGTCTCAATTTCATTGCTTGACAAATTTTTTAAATTTTTATATTTCACATTAGTTTTCATTTATTGAAAATTTTATAAATCAGTGGCATGTTATTTAGTATAAAACAGGAATATTTGAAATTCTCAAAATGTTGATTAAATTATGCATATAAATTCATTAAAAAACTTTGTATTGTTTCGAATGTTTTATGCACAGATTAGTTATACATCTAACTTGAAATAAAACTGCTTACATGCTTCTATGCAAAGTTTCCGCTACACTTAATATCTCTGCAATTGTTACTGCAAATCAAATGTGCTGTAAAATAATTTATGTAAAATGTTATTAAAATTGTAATTGAAAGTTTTTGTAACATATGTAAAAACGTTCTCCCAATAAAATTATTTTGCAACTATGTGATTTTTCTTTTGCTGTTCTAACTACGTTTTATGCGCGCGTGTGTGTGTGGGGGATCTTGATATCGAAATTTTGATTTCTTTCAGATTAGGTAAAGCTTTTAACTAGAGCTCAATGTACATTAAAAATGAAGTTACGATAGTTAACTGAATGATGCAACCGGAATTCATAGTTCTTTTGACAACTAATAGAATTTAGTAAATGTCTAACATTTTCAATCTAGCAAGCAAGGCTAAAATTTCAGCTTAATGTCGGGAATATCTAAAAATATCGGCGATGTTCTATGGATGTCTTACCCATATTTATTAGTTGTTGAGCAGTAGAAATATTGAAATAAAGTATTTTAATTTGTCATTAGATATTGTTATTTTCTAAACTGGGAGGTACTTGAATTTTTTTTAAAGAGCAATAAATCAGAAATCTAAGAGCTCCATCTGAAAACCAGCATCCAATAAATTGGTCAACATTTGGTATAATTTTATCACCTGATTTTTGACATTTTTTCTCCTATTTGCGTACCTTAAACTGATTTTCCATGTTAAAAAAGGTGATTTGATTTACTCTCGCTGGTAAAAGCTTTGAATTTGAATGAAAAGTAATAAAGTGATTAGATTTGTCGAATTTTTTTTTCTGCAGAAATCTCTCTTTATTCTAGTTTACTTTATTTATGAAACTATTTTTCAAAGAATTAAAATTCACAAATTTTATGAAACTGAATTTTCCGTATCTTAAATAGCGAACTCAAATACGATAATTTCGATTGCGTAAAGGTTCAGGTGCTTTTTTTGTGCTAAGGTACTTTTTAAATTTTTCTGGAACTGGCTGATCTTTATGGGACCCTAGGTTTAAAATATTTTACGGTTGG